TAACTTAAATTGGGATCAATCTGTAATCACAGGAGGGCTTAAGTAGAAGAAAATGGTTAATATCTCATACTGTTTAATTGTCGCAGTTTTGTCTTGGAGAAACGGAATAGTTAAAGATTTTTCTCTGTGTGGTCGCCTATTTAATCTTCAGACTGTAAGATGGCCCCACTTCATTCCAAATGGTAATGCTCAGCTATCAGTTTATTAAGGAGACACCATTTGAAGAAACTCATCACATATGAATGGTTTTGAGTAATAAAACACTGCAATGATGTAACATAACAGAGGCGAGTCTCAGGGTGGTGGTGGAAGTGAAGAAGATGAGGACTTGTGGTTCTCTGAGTGACAAGAATGAACTGACTGGGAGCGAGACTGAAAGGCAGAATAACAGAACAGAACTGAGATTTAAAGGACAAGGAATAGAGGCTGATTGATTCACAGAAGGCAGGCAAAAGCACTGTACCAGAGTGATGATGGCAGAGTTTCACATTATGGGAAAGACCAGGTGACAGAAAAGAAAGGATTATCAGCCTGAATGCCCAGGGATGCAAGCAAACGAGTGAAAAGACATATTCCTTATTTAACCTAACAAAAACTTTAATCCTGTAAGATGGGAGTATCCCTAACCGCAAGTCTACACTATCACAGTTACTGCTCATCGTTAGCGGTGATTTAGACCCAGTGTCTGTCTCTGTGTCCTTTTTGGGCAGTTAGCATAAATTAACTTTCATTTTAATAGTGACAGGGATAAAAACTGCATGTGTGGAGCCAAACCAGGCAAATATTAAAAAAAAAAAAAAAGCAAAGCAAAACCAAAATAATCCTTAAAAATGTTTTTATGATTTTGCCCCAAAATATGGTTTTATAAAGGCTTTTCCACTAGAAGCTACACTTCTAGCACCAGCTTTGATGTCACATCTCCATTTCATTGTCTTTGCTTAGACCTCACATGGTCTAAGCAAAGTCAGGCTCTGAGCCACATCTCCAGGAGTGTGGCTCCGAGCCTGACTAGCAATGAAGCAATGGCTGAGTGTTTTTGCACTCCTGTCAATAAATATCTGTGGACTGTCCGCGAATACAAGTTACTCAGCTACCAAAATGACTTTCTCAAGCATTACATGCACTCTGAGTTCTAAGTGAACTGAATGAATAAAACATGGACCAAATTCCAGGTATTTAATATAGTCTGTTGCCAAAAAACAAAATATTTATTTTTTATATATGAAATCAACTGTGCTCTAAGAGCAGTCCCAGAGCAGAACAGATTTAGACTACTTAATTAGATTAGATTACAGTTCTATTTTGAATGTAGCGATTCTGACTGGCGTGGGTTGGTGTTCACAGGTGAGTCTTAAGACAAGGCAACCAGTTGTCTTATGAAAAAGTAGTATTTATCTATTTTTTTCCAATTTAAAAGTACAACTGCTGTGAAGAAAAGACTACTGAGACAGAAAAATAAGCAGGCAGACCATTGGAAATTCACACTTTGCTCTGCTCTGTCTTTGTGACACATGGAGTAAATGAGCAGATGGTTCTCTGTGTGTGGTGTTCTCACTGTAACGCACAGAGGAACCTTGTGATGGGGATACAGTTTATGATTTATACTGACTTTATTCAAGCTGGTTATCACAACACCCTGCATTGATATGTCATGCTACATAGATTTATGTAACTATTGTTTGTTCTTCTGCAGGCAAGTGAACCAAAACACACCTCTGGATGTTTTAGGACTCGAATGATAGAAAGCATCAGACCTTCCTTCCACAAACCTAAACTAAACTAACCTAAAAAGAACAAGCCAAATGTGCTTTTTAAGCAATCAAAACTTGTGCTGTGGCACCTTTTTTAATTCTATGAGTTATTTTTATCAGTATTCTCTCTCCCCAAGCATTCGCAGCAGATGGCCGCCCTTCGCTGAGCCTGGTTCTGCCAGAGGTTTCTTCCTGTTAAAGGGGAGTTTTTCCTTCCCACTTTTGCCAAAGTGCTTGGTCACAGGGGGTCATATCATTGTTGGGTTTTTCTCTGTATGTATTATTGTACGATCTACCTTACAATATAAAGCACCTTGAGGCAATTGTTGTTGTGATTTGACACTATATAAAGAAAATTTAATAGAATTAAAACTAGTGGTGATACTGTTTCCAAACCTTAATTGATGTGTGTTATTGTAGAGTTTTTACCTCACAGTATAAAGATGATGTGACTGTTAATGTGATTTGGCACTAAATAAATAACATTTAATTGACCAACATTGAATCTCTCTCACACACACACAAAATACTTGAGACATAAAATAATCAGCTGTTCAGCTTTTGTAATTAGAAGAAAAATGACATCTATGAATCAGTCCATAAAAAGATCATTATAAAAGAAAGAGAAAAAAACAGTACCAAAAGAAAAAAAAGACAATATAAATTTATAAAGTTGTCAAAGATTGAGAACTGATTAAAGAGCACAACAAGCAGGATTGCATATATACATTTACATGACAGCCACACTCCTCAACATCAGCAGAGTACATAACAACAATGCTATCAGAGAAAAGACACAGACAGGAGGAGAGTTTGTTTGTGTAGAAAGGGCAGCATTCTTGTTATTCATTGCAAAATTAATGCAAAAATAAAAATATGAGTGCTGACATATTATAAATAAATAATGAATTTAATGTCAGTGAATAAAAATTAAATACAAGAGTTTTTATGCAAAGCTGCTTTGGCACATTTACAGACAGTATTGTGATCATTAGATTCAAATCAGGGACATTTTTAAAAATATTGCATGTTGTGCTAATTGAGCATCACCCTCAACATCCCAGTGTTCAACTTACTCTGTAAAAGGCTCTGTCACACCAGCATCTAAAGCAGCCAAATGTGGGAGTAAAGAGTCTCCACAGAGCAAGGGTGGTTCTAGTTCCTCAATCAGTGAGTTTCTACATCTACATAAAGGTACAGTGTGCAAAATATCACCACTAGATGTCAGTAGATTGCAGGAAATTGTAATCAAACTGCTGATCAGATGGAAAGTGTGATTTTTAAGACATTTGAGCCTAACATTAGCGAGCATAAGGTTAGCTTATAACCAGCTGCTATTGTTTAGCTGACTTGTTTTTACTTAATAAGTAATTTAAAGAATTAAAAAAAATAGCATTGTGTATATTTATTTCAGTGTTTATTTAAGAATTAAACATTCTTTTTTAAATTAAATAACTTAAAAAATTATGGTGCCAAAGTCACTTCAATCAGGTAAATCTGCAGAACTTTTGTAATGGAACATTTGGCTTTGAGTTTAGATGCTTTGATTTCTAAATGTCTATATGGTATTAGAAGTCAGTATTGTAAGCATAGTTTGATCCACAAACTATATATTAACGATTAATGTAGTTTACTGGTCAAAAAAGTACATCCAATGTGGATGTAGCTGCATTATTTTTAATTACCACCAGGGGGTGACTCGTGTGGTTGCAAAAATAAGACTAGAACTCTGTGGGGAAAAGGGTTCTTTTCTGCCTGGATCTTGATATGATCACAATAATGACTTTTATGACTTTTATGCTTTAAACATTAATTTAACTTCAATTTAACTTTAACTTTTATTTATTAGCAGGGATGGGCATTTACATCAAAAATAGAACTTCATATTTACTGGTCTCCTTTTGACGATTCGTTGACAACTGCCAACCCCAATCTTCTTTCACATGATTGTGCATAGTTGTAGTAGACTTGCACCATGCTAACTTTACCTTGTGTTTGCCCTGGTCCACATTGATGTTTTAGAACATTTTGACAGAGTTTCTAAGTAGTGATGGGATTTCCAGCTCTTTTCGGCTCCGAACCGCGCCTAGCATCCTGGAGCACTTCTGTTGTGTTTTGTACGTGTTTTGGAGTTTTTACGTGTTTTGGAGTTTGTACATGCTTTGTCTCTAGGTGCCACCGTAAATATACACAGCAAAATCTCCAGTGTTAAATTAACACTAGAGAGTGTCTATATGGGTCCACACCTCTGAGTGTTAAATACAACACTGTTGAGTGTTAAATTAACATTTTTGACAGTGTTATATGTTTAAAATCGGGCGACCGTGGCTCAGGGGGTTGGGAAGCGTATCTGTAACCGGAAGGTCGCCGGTTCGATCCCTGGGCTCTCTGTCCTGGTCGTTGTGTCCTTGGGCAAGACACTTTACCCTACTTGCCTACTGGTGCTGGCCAGAGGGGCTGATGGCACGAAATGGCAACCTCGCTTCTGTCAGTCTGCCCCAGGGCAGCTGTGGCTACAACTGTAGCTTGCCTCCACCAGTGTATGAATGCAAGAGTGAATGAATAGTGGCATTGTAAAGCGCTTTGGGTGCCTTGAAAAGCGCTATATAAATCCAATCCATTATTATTATTATTATTAAAAGTAACCTAGTCAGTTTTGAAGATTAACAATGGCTAACACTGAGCAGTGCTGATTTTCTAAGACTGGAAAATAACTCAAAATGTTAGAAATATTCCAGTGTTAGCAAACCAGCACTGCTCAGTGTTAGCCATTGTTAATCTTCAAAACTGACTAGGTTACTTTTAAACATATAACACTGTCAAAAGTGTTAATTTAACACTTTTCAGTGTTGTATTTAACACTCAGAGGTGTGGACCCATATAGACACTCTCTAGTGTTAATTTAACACTGGAGATTTTGCTTTTATTTATTCACTCCACATAAAATGTAACAAATAAATCATATAATACAAAAAACAACTATCCACATTTCAACTTTTAACTATTTAAATTTTCAGCTTTTTCCTTTTAAACAAATTTAAAGTGAAACAACACAAAACACTGCAAACCACAACACAATTAAATACAAATTAAAATATGAAAAAAAAGAAGATGCACATTCTCTGTCATATGGGCCTGCATGAATAAACTTTCTGAATCCTTTATCATCTGCAACTGAAAATAGTTGTGGATGATTACTACACCTTTCTAATGTGACGTTGTTGTCTCTTTCTCTCTCTCTCCCTCCTACTCTGTTCCTGTGCGAGTGTAACTACCGCCCCTCCCCCCTCTTCCCAGGACAAAGCACAAGGCTCCCGTGCGGAGTGAAGTGGGAAAAAAGTGCGAGAGAGAGGGTGAGAGAAAGAAAAAAAAAACGTATGGCTAGTGATAAGGATCAAATGATCCGGGTCTAAGAGCCGTTTCTTTCGCGACTGAAACATCACTATTTCTAATCCACTAACGCCACCTTCTAGTTGTAGAGGTGTATTGCAAATTGAATGGTAAATGGACTGATTCTTATATTGCGCTTTTCTGCTCTTCCAGAGGACTCAACGAGCTTTATACAACATGCTACGTTTTTAAGTGCTTTCTAGCTAACATTCAGCTCCACATTCATACAATTTAGGATTTAGCAACTTGCCCAAGGATATTCGACATGCAGACTGGGGCAGCCGGGGAGTGAACCACCAACCCTCCAGTCAGTAGATGACCTGCTCTACCTCCTGAGCTACAGCGACCCCATGTGCTGGTAAAAACAAAGGATTTTAATAACTAATAAGTGCTTTTGCTTTAGGTTTCTAGCTTTCATGTTTTACAGGGATGATCAATTGTGCTTTTTGTGCCTAGACAAGTCAACAGGTTTTTGTGAAAAAGGTCTGTTGGTCATGGCACAAATTCTTGTGGCAAAGTTCATCAGATCTGAATAGGTTACAGATTTTAAATGCTGCCGTTAACACACATTTTCATTTGTTTTAAATGGGCAGCCAAGCAATTTCCATGGGCAAGAAGCATTAAAGAAAATATTAATTAATTGGCAAACAGAGCAATAATCTCTATACAGAACTCTCTATTTCATCTGAAATACATCATAGTTTTGTCTTTCTTGTTTTATTTCAAACTAATCTTTATTATAAGACCATAAGTGGTGCAAGTCTTCTTTATGCACGTCCAAGTAACTATATAGATATGCATGTGCTTTTCTAATGGAAAATACATTTGTGCTGCTATACTGGTGTGGTTATATTAATATATATAATATCCTGATAGTATACTGCACCTTCAGCTTCTTAGACATTTTATTGTGTTTTGAAATAAATCTGAACATTTAAGTGGCATTAATCATCAGGTTACCCTCAGTAACCTACACAGACCTAATGTTGTTTTAGAATTTACCACCAGTAATTAGAATATATCACTTAAAAAGGGCATTTGGGTTGTTGCTATGGCCCTTCAAACTGTGATTATCTTGTTTCCTTTATTTGCTCTTAAGTTGTAGCTAAGAGTAAATAAACTGCCTCCAGTCTGCCTGCAGTAAACTGATTTTGCCTGATAGATTTTAGAAAGAGAGAAAAAGAGCTCTGCGTCAGTGTATGTAACTCTCTGGTGACAAGGGCATAAAACTATTTTTAGCACTCTGAACGTGAATGTGACCACAGCAGCCTTAATCCCCCGTGAATAGAAACAAGTTTAAAACAACCAAAACTCAAACTGAGAAAGTAAACAGAAAGTACCTTGGACAGCAAGGTGACTATAATCACTGTAAGTGAGGATGGAGGATGATCAAGCATCTCTGAGGACACGCCCACTGAGGCAGCATTTTATTACTCTACTGTTTATTGTGTAGTGGAGTGAAGGGAAAAAAATCAAGCATAGAGTAATTTCAGTAAAGTCATGAAGCTAAGGTTAGTTACTGACATGGCTGGAATCCCTTCAGGACAAGACCTGTGGATAACTGTGGTGATAGCATTGCACAGATCTTTCTATCTGCTGTGACATATCTTAAAGTGATTTGCCAATAACTGTCCAAATCCAAGTATCCAAAACCAGAAGAGATTTACCTAAGAAGACTGGAGGCTGTATTTAATCTTTAAGAAGTTCATTGAAGTAAAGAATTAAGGTTCTAAATAGTCTTACATTTCAAAACATCAAAAATGTGTTGTGCATTTGTTAATGTGGGATACTGAGTGAAGATTGATGAGAAAAATAAGGCAATATTTCCCTTTTGAATGTCTAAAAAGTGAGTGTAGGTATGAGCCTTTTACGACTTTTGGCTTTAAATGACTCAAGCAATATGAAGTTAATTTGGTTTTATTAATACTGGCTGTGGGATCTCGTAGAGTATAACATGCCATTGCTTTGTCTGTAGGAAAAAAAAACAAAATATGTAATTTTGTTCCAGTAATGTGGAAAATAACCGACCGGTATAAATGCTTTTTTTTTGTTCATACTGTAAACGCTTTGTATACCACAAAGGTCTGAGGTGTTTCATTGGTTCTTGAGGATTATTGAATTATGAAACACAAATGTCATGAACCTCACATTGTATGGAGTCAATTGAACTGATTATAGAGATCTGTAGAATTTTAGTACATAAAAAACTACATAAAAACCTGTGTGGCTTGGCCCTGCTACGAAACACTCACACCCACGCGTTCATAGCAGGGTTTTCTGTCAAGATAGCAGCATGTTAGACGTCATCACGTGCCATTGTAAGTCATGGTGTTTTTTGTGTGTGCATGAAGGCATTCTGGGGGTGTTTGTTACATACACATACACAAGATGATCCCTGCCATCATAGCCTGGCATGCAGGTTGACAATAACGCCGTCCTCAGGGAGATCTTTGACAGGAAGGTCGCTCAAGTGTTCCATGCTATGGTCGGTGTTCTCGCAGCTGCTTTGTGGTGACTCTGGGGGAGGCTGGTACAGGATACTGGCTACCAGGAAAAAGATGGTCCCCAAAACCTGAAACAGAGGAGGAATAAAGATGTGAAAGAGATCAAAATATGACAAATTTGCACAACTAATTCAAAGTTACTGACATACAGTCGGTCACTGGAATGTCAAAAAATTAGCTATAGCATAGTAAAGTGATATCATTTTAATTGAAGACGTTTAACCAAATATTACACTAATCACTAAAGAATTGTCTGCTATGCCTCCTCTGTGCCAATAAAATGAGTGGACAAAGCAAAAAATTAAGAATATTAATTAAACTAAAAAACAAACAAAAACAAAACTGAGAACACTGAAATGCTAATGTTGGTATAGTCAGAGGTTTATATACACTCATGGCTATGAATGTCAAGGAAAATTTGGCCTTTTAATGATTTCTTTAAACTGTTCTTTTTCTTTATTTAAGAGGATGATTCTGCAGCATACATATTTAAAGACTTTAAAAAACAGGAATTGGGTGGAATACATATACATAGATTCACTTATTAAATCACGCAGTAAGTGTTGCTTACAATGTATTTGAACTTGTCAAGGCCAATACCTATTAATATCCTGTTAGTGATTTTGATTGATTGAAAAATAGAAACTGTTATGAATAGTATTGCATGCAAAGTATGTTTGTTTTAAACTTAGCTACTTGGTTATCTTGGAAAATATTTAGTAACCCTATGTGGTTTTATATTTCATTTAAAAAAAAACCACTATAAAAACATAAACGGTTAAAAGACATTTGGGAGTGAAAAAAATCCGTCAAACAACCTGTTAGCCTATGAATCATTAATACCTTATAGAGGATTCCAGCTACTAGTGTGTACTGGCTCATGGCTGAATTGTGATAAAGGTAGCAGGATCCCTGCTCGCCACACTTATCCTGCCACATTAAGCAGGATAGGTCAATCACTGAGCCAAAGGCTATGGGTCCTGGAATACCACCTGCGAGAAGAAAAAAGAGACAAAATGGCAGAACATAAAGCATTTTGATTTTGCATGGGCATCTGTGTAAAAGTTAATCTAAATAAAGAATGCACTTGGCCTACCAAGTGTGCGCACTACAATCCACTGGATACCAAGTCCAAAGGATCTCTGACTGTCAGGTACACACCTATGGAGGGCAGGGTTAGCCAGACATATTAGAATCAGAAACAGAATACTTTATTAATCGCTAAGGAAATTATGTGGTTAGAGTTGCTTAGAGAGAATAATAACAGTAGCACACTGAACTAAACAAATAATACAATAATTTATTAATTATCAATTTTATTTATAGAGTGTCTCAAGGTGCTTAAATGTATTATTAAAAATGTATTGTTTATTTTATTCACCAATTCAAATTATACTAGAATTTTGTTAAAGATAGACAGTTTAAGAAATACTTTGAAGCTTAGAGCTCAAATGAATGACATTAATAAATGAAACAGAGTGTGATACATAATTAGTACATTCAGAGGTTTAAGTGTGGCCACCTACCTGAGTGTGGCAGTGAGTGCTGGGATGCTACAAAGGAAGGTGAAGCTGATAATGATGAAAAGCAAGGAGAGGAAGGCTGGCATGTGATGGCAAGAGCTGCCACACTTCCCTGCCAGAGCGAAGCCTTCCTCATCCCATGACACATTACCCACCACACAGCTACATCCAGAGTACACCTAGAGGCGAAAACATAAGCCAGATATAAATGTATAATGTATAACTGCTGAAACACACTTCAGTCTCTACATACAGTGGGCTATATAGTTATTGAACACGTTGCCAGTTTTCTAAGTTAATTTCTAAACATAATATTGACATGAAATTCTCCCCAAATGTTGATAACAACCCAACCAAATTACACATGCAAGAAATCAAACCATATAGATGTCCATAAATTAATATATGTGTGTAATAATGAGAATGGACACAGTCCATGAACATGCTTACTACTATGTATTTAATACTTCATACATAAGCCTTTGTAGGTGATGATGGCTTTAAGACACACCCTGTATGGAGAAACTGGTCACATGCATTGCTCAGGTGTGATTTTGTAGTTTTTGTTAACTTTATCTGTATTGTTATTTTAAGGTTGGAACTGACTCTTAAAGAGCACATTGTGACATTGTTTCCCTTTGTGTGTCCCCTCTATGTTGTCTTGCAGGTCCCTGGTAGGAACTGGACAATCTTTGCTTCTATCAACACCCGGCCTGTCTTCTCTTTCTTTTTGGGATATCTTCTGATGTATTACTTTAGGTAAATAAAACCTTATATTTACTCTATCATTCAAACACCTATCTGACTGCTGATAGCACACAAACCAAGGTTAGGTAAAGTATAATGTTAAGGTTATTTTTGTAGGCAGGTGGATATTGGTTAGGCTTAGGCACCAAAGTTACTTTGACTAGTTCAGAGAAAGATTGTGGTTTGAGTAAAAATATAACAAGTTGGAACCCTTTTAACTGTTGCATCACAGGAACACTAAAGAGCATCTTGTGCACATCTCTGGGACACCAGTGGATTTGACTAAACAGCAGAGAATTTTTATCATAAAAATCAGAATAATCATTTATAAATATATTATGAAGTATATAAAATCTTGTATCTATCCATGTAATCAGTATGCAGTTATTCTCTTTTAAGTCTCTTCGAAGATATGATATAATCCTAAACATTGTACATAATTTCATATTTGCAATATTTTTTTTGCATCTCTGTCAATAAAATGCACTTTTTGCACTGCAGTAAGTGGCTCTGCTGCAAAATTCAGCTTTTATTCTAAAATGTATCAATGAAAGTGAGCCACAGAGGATTGTGCATTTTTCTGCTCCTGAGTTTGAAATAATTGTAAAATAACTCAATATTTCAAAACAGTCAGATTGCATCATTTCTGCAAAAGAAAAGATTTTAGCTTATCAGACACATGTGTATCACAAAGCCATCCCCTGTAAAAGCTCAGGCTTTCTGCTATTTCCCAATCTGTCTAAAAAATATGGTGTAATTTCCCCTGTGAGCAAAGTGTGAGCGATACCTGTTTGCCCGTTGAGAGTTGGGTGTGGTTAATGGAGGTGCAGCCAGCATGGCAAGGGGAGTAATACATCACACCGTCTGCCCCACACACTGGGTTGTAGAGCTCTCTGACACAACTACAGCCTGCATTACAGCCCACATCTAAGGAAGAGCTGCAGTTAGGAGGGAGAGAAAGAAGGACAGAAATGAGAGGAAACAAATGAGGGGAGAGCGTGATAGAACTGATGAGGATACATCACTAGAGCTCAGTATTAGAATGAACCACTGATTACTGTTCCAGTGATTGATGCTCACAATAAACAAAGCAAGTTAAATTGCAAAGTGTTTCCTTACACCGAGCCAAAAGAGAAAGCCACAAAGTCTAAACGTTTTCTAAACTCTTGGTTTCAGATTGTTGTTCTACTTTTTGTTCTATGTAAGAGGATAAATGTCATATAAACAGCTCTGTCTGCAAGCACAGAAGACTTCCAATCTGCTGATCAAACATTCTGTCAAGGCCAGTGAGAAGAAAGCTCGCTTACAGGAGCAATGTGCCCATTGATAAATCGGTGTGTGGAGATTAAGTAAAAAGAAACTGTTAACTACAACTAGTGTTTCTGCATGTACTGAAGCCGCACACATGCCCAGGGTACATTAGTCTTGGCCTTGTGTCCATCTGCAGAGTACAATACATCCTAAGTGGTAAAGCACAAATCCCCAATCTAATTAACCCTATAAGTTCAGAGTCATCATTGGAGTTAACCTGAACCTAAGAACACTTTGCAATCAGAAAATGTAATTTTACTTTTGATTAAACTGTTCTCCTAAGTCTTGGCAATCAAGGGACAAAGAAGATAATCATTCTAATGTATCTGCCTGACATCCTTCTCATTCAGATCAGTGATTATAATGGTTGGACTTGGATTTTTTTTAAAAGGCCTATCAGAATGTCTGTGGACAATATCCCAATGCTTTGCAAAGGTATCTTACTTTCCTGGAACTAAAGCAATACTTATATTCACTGGGTGAGTAGGCAGCAAGTGCAAGAACATCTAAAATAATCTCTGATATGGCTGGATGGTGTGGCACTGAGAAACATTGTGGTAAAAGATATCCAAATGAAATATGATTGGATTTATATTTAATTCAATTTCAATTCAATTTTATTTATATAGTTGCAAATCATAGCAACAGTTGCCTCAAGGAAGGTGAATCCCTGCAAAAAAAGAGAGGAAACCCCATCAGACGACGCCCTAGGAGCAAGCACTCCATTAAGCAGGAAGGGAAAATCTCCCTTTTAACAGGAAGAAACCTCCAGCAGAAACAGGCTCAAGGAGGGGGAACCATCTGCCATGACTGGTTAGGGGTGGGAGGGGGAAGTTTTATGGATTTATCGTAACATTTAATATTATATTAAATGCTTTTGTTAATATTTAATAATTTAATATTTATTAAAAGCAGTAATACTATATAACAGCCTTTTATTTTAAGGTAGCAATTTTTGTTTCCTTCTTAAATCTAAAGGGTAGCTGGCTTATTCCACTGCACTGCAGCTCAACACAAACAAAGTCCCTGTTTACATTTACACTGATATAAAACTTTTCTGCTCATTTGAAGCTATAACATGACAGTGAACACAATTTACCACAGTGCACCAATACTTCAAGTGTGACTTAAAGTCCAAAGTAATTTCTGGCCAGATATAATTAATTTGGTATTTGCTGGCTTGTGTTCACATGACAGCAGTAAAGAGGAACCATGAGGGAGGAACTTCAGAGAAAACATTACCTAGCACAGAGACTGTGAGCTGAATGTAAAACTTACCTGGTCAGATCTGACAGACAGGTACATTAACCTCTTGTAGAATAAAACTAACAACAGTCAGAACCAATTTAACTTAAAGAAATCATAACTAAAATAACGAGTTCTATACACAGCTTACCTGTTTCTGAGGTACAGTTTACTTGGGCTGTCATACACATTTTTGTACAGGTCCAGTTGCTGTTTAGTCTTCAGACCAGACTGGTAAGGCACTGTGACACCAGCCATGGGCACATTGGGGCAGTGGATGACAAAGATGAAGATGGCGAGCAGACTGACCATGGCACACATCATGCAGAAGCGGATGATACCTCGACACCGCAGGTTCAACTTCTTTACAATGTAGCCACCCAAGAAGGTGCCCCCACCTCCTGCTGGTACCACCATATATCCTGAGAGAAAAAGAATAAAAGCATAACGGATCAATGGTGTTGATATATGAAAGAGTCCCATCTGTCCAACAGAGGAGCAAGACCTCCAGACTTAAAGAGGCATAAAATGATCCCAAACCATGAACCATGTAATATTTATGTCATCTGTAGTTTTTTGGGGGTATCAGGGAGAAATGTGATCATGTTGTGCTGCTCGTTGTGGAGGAAAACTGATTGATGATAAGCATTGACAGCCCGGGATTAGTAAAGAGGTAGTGAGGGCAGCTATGAAGAGGATGAGTGGAAAGGCAGCCTGTGGAGGTATGCAGATATGAAGGAGAGAAAGCAGTGGACTTTTTTATCAGATTGTTTAACGCAATACTGGAGAGTGACAGGTTGCCAGAAAAGTGAAGAAGAAGTGTGCGAGTACCAGTTTTCAGGAACAATGTGCAGAGCAGGTGATGTGCAAAACTGCAGTAATGCTGATGATGATCAATGAATAGCAGTAAGCAGCAGTAAACAGATTCATTTAAATGTCTGGGGTCAACCAACCAAAGCAACAAACAGTGGAAAAGAGAAGTGAAAAGGAAAGAGCAAGCAGCGTGGAGTAGGTGAAGATGAGTATCAGGGTGGATTTGTGACTGAGGATAGCAGCAAAATAGTGAAACGGTGGCACTGACAAAAGGGTGTGCAGACTGTGATCAGCTGACCTGTGCTGCAATTTCCATAGTCAGGGGTCTACGTGGATTTAGTCAACTGAATTCAACTAGATCTAAAGAGATCTTTCACTAGCTTTGTGGCCGATTTCCAGATATTACAAAAAGGGAGAAATGGTAAGTGAATCAAATCAGCATCATCAATTGATGTCTTCTAACCTTGATGTCAGCCAGGGACAACACCCTAGATCAGGGGTGTCGAACTCCAGGCCTCGAGGGCCGGTGTCCTGCAGGTTTTAGATCTCACCCTGGGTCAACACACCTGAATCACATGATTAGTTCATTACCAGGCTTCTGGAGAACTTCAACACATGTTGAGGAAGTAATTTAGCCATTTAAATCAGCTGTGTTGGATCAAGGACACATCTAAAACCTGCAGGACACTGGCCCTCGAGGCCTGGAGTTCGACACCTGTGCCCTAGATGCAACCAGTCCACCACAGTGCATCACTGTAAACTTTGGCAGTAATTAGTTTGTCTGGTATTTTCATGCACCTTTGAATAACACAAAATCATATACATCAATTTGGTTTGTACGACCTTTCAGAATTGTTTTTTTTCTACCTGGGAGATACAACAACTATACAGTTATCTTCAAGACACATTATGTGACAAACTACACAAAAACTATTGATGTGTTTGGTGACATTTGTTAGGCTGTTTGGATGCTGGAACGCCCTTCTGGATCATTCTGACCTACTTTAAACCCTGACAATACAGTTGACTTGAATGTTGGAAAGCTACCAATGCTGACAGGTAATTAATAACTAGTTGGCTAACTGCCCTGTACTATAGACAGTAAGTGTTCTACATTTTGACCTGTGAATCATACACCGTGAGTATCATACCATTTTATATTACGTGATTAATATTCTGAATCACATTCTGCAGTAATTTAAAAGTAGAATGAAAAATATGCAGCTTTTATATTCAGATATGAGTTTGCCAAGAAAGATACTCAAAGTAATTACAAATGGCTTATTAAATTATGAGATTAAATCTAGAATTAATAGCTGACCTTGTTTACTAAATTCAGTATTTTACTTTGTGAGAAACTTGCAGTTATAGTTTCAGCAGAGGTGCTAATGTTAGCTAACATTTCCCAAAGGTAAGATTGGATTTGATCGCCAAAACCAAACGATCCCTCCATGATATCATTCTATCATTCTACAGCAGGTGACAGTAGTTTTCCCTTTATTGTCAAATTGCTCTTTAGCCTAGCATATTACATTCAGTAAAACAGTATTGTTCCTTGTTTCTCTTTAACATTGTTACTAGCATAAACTACTATCTGACCTATATGATATTTTGGATTTTTTTGTATTCATTTTGTATTCATGTAGAGGTTTGTGCTGCATTTGTTGACCTTCTAGACTATGATTATCTAGTATCCTCTCTTACTTGCAGTTTATACATAAACTGCTAGTAAGAAATCACCAGCATAGGAGGCACTAAGGGAACGGTCTATGATTGAACAAAAGCACCTAAAATTTCAAATTTTCACAAAAAAATAGATCCTCTCTTTTAGATCAGTGTTATTTCACAAGCTGTTGTGAAGATTTTCTAAGGTTCAATAAATAAAGTAATAAAATGAGTTAAATGCATAGCGAAAGTTGCCCATGTGATGGGCCTCTTTACTTTTCACTCACCAAACCATGTGGCAGCCTCTGATGCACTGAGACTGAACTGTGATTCCAAGAACTTTGGACCAAAAGTGGACATGCCAGCAATGAGGGTGGCCTCAGTAGCCCCAGCCAAGCACAGGAACAGGAAGGTGGGATTTTTTAGGAGAAGCAGCACAGATCTGGAAATACACAGTAAGAGAGAGAGGGTGAGAGTGAGGGGGCATCGATGTGTGAAGCCACTGTGACTGAACAAACCTGAGCTTCCTTTTTCATTAATGCACCCTGCTCTAATCGCAAGATGTTCTTAATATAGAGCAGATACATACTGCTGTAAATCCAAAGACATATAATCAAGTTACATAACGTATCATGTAACTCTCTGTAATCTCCACAGAGACAGAGTAATAGATGCGATCACAGTAAGCTCATAGTATATATGGTTGTGAAATGGAAAGGAGCAATACTGTCACTCATTTGTGCTGTTCTGCATTCATAGCTGCCTGTCGTTGCTTTAGGATGACAGTAAACTTATTAACATTAAGGTTTTCTGTGACATTTTAGAGGTGAATTTGCATGGTGAACTAATCCTTGCATAAGCCACACTGATAAACCTGAGCTACATAATGCCAATGAGAAAAAGCAGTAAAACCAGTACCAATAGTAAGAGAGCCCACATGTGGTTTGAGATGTCTTTCTCCCAGAACAGCAACATGGGGCTTAGGTTGAAAGCACTGCAGGCTTCATTAAAAGTAATAATTGCTACATGTAACAAACTAAAAACTAAAACTAATTAATCTGTATTCTCTAAAGAAAACAATATGTTTCTGATTTATCTAACGCATGGTTCTTTTGTTAAGCCAACTAGCCACTTTTCATGTAAAGAAACAAGGAGATGCAAACAATAGTTTGCATTGGAAAAAAGTGGAGGCTCTTTGCAGAAACAAAACAGATTTTACATTAATCCTTTTAACAGTCTAGTTATTAGTTTTTAGCCATTTAGAACCACCATTCCCAAATGGGATTTGTTTGTTTATCAGGATGATTAAGCTAGAGGTTATGGATGCATTTGCAATATTCTGTTTTCTGTACCAGGGGTCTCTTAGAAATTATTAATCTTAGTGCTGACCAGTACATTCCTAAGTGAAACAAACTAATCAAGATACAGATATCCTTCGGGATCCTGCTTCTTAATCACAGCACTGTGAGGACAGAGGTTTTAGCCTTGGTAGAGGTTTGTAATAGTGAACAGTTATTTATTTAAGTGGTTAGTATATTTGGGCATCATCAGTGTAAAAGTGGGAAGCTGTAATACAGAAGTGGACCCAGAGGTAAAGCATGTCACAGGTCAGTGAAGCAGTGTTAGAAGAATAGTTACCAATGGTGATGGAAACGTACAGCTCAGGGTAGTACTAAAAATACCAATACATTACTCCGGATGATGAGGCAAGTGAGATCTTGTGGTTAAATGCATCAAATGCAGCAGTGAGATCCAGTAATATGCATGCAGCAGATTCATCAGCATGAAAAATGGCAATGGAAATTATTCATACAGCATTTTTCATTACACATAAACTCAATGTGCTCAACATAAAAGATAAAAAACAAAACAATGAAGCAAACTGTACAAAGTAATAAAATGCAATTTAAAATAGAAACTAGACGAGGTCGTGAAAGCATTTATTTCTTGAAGCTCTCTACCTTGGCATGTCTTTAACTGATTTGCCAAACTGAGGGTCTGAGGCAGTGGTGTGGCTTCCATCCTTAAGCTGGTGGGCCTCAGACACACGCATGGTCACATACTCCTGAGAGCCTGCAGGAAGACACAGAAAAGTAAGAGTGAGGCTGTTTCGAAAATATATGGTATTTTACATACCAGAGTACCACCTAATGTATTAGTCAGTGTTTTTTTAATGCCCTCTCTGTTATAAAGAAGACTGGCCATGGCCTTTGCTGGCACCTGGTAGTTGCCGTGGGTAGCCCAGGATGGGAAATGCCACCAGCAGAGCGGCTGCTCCTCCTGCTAAAAAGCCAATCCACCAAGCCCCAACCCAGTGAGGGTTCTCTGGCGTCATCTCAGGCCTGGAACATCACGCACATATGATTAAACACATTTATAGAATTAGAATCAGAATATTGTATTGATACCCAATAAATTATGTGCTCACAGTTGCTCCAAGACAGTAAGAATAGTACCTGACTAAACTAAATTAAATAATACAATATATTACAAAGTTACAAAATATAACAAAATAGCTCTAATATATACAAACAGCTAAAATATAACATTCCCAGTATATAACACTAATTAAATATATATGGTTGAAACTGAGATGCCTCTCTTATCAAACTGTAAAACGTTTCTTATTTTCTCTGTAGAGGATCTGCAATAAAGGTGTGCAACTGCTGCAGTGCGCACTTGTGCATTAGCTGGAGGAGTTGTATGAGAGATATGCACACGCAGGAATGAACCACTTGACCTTTAAAGAGGCAGATCTCTAAAGCATCTTGTAATGAGACAGTATTGTTCTATTGTGTATATTTTTATTCTACATTCTCCCATTGTCTATTTCATATCACAATATTTGACTCTATTCCACATTCTGCATGTCAGCTTTTGTTTATTCCCAGTTTAGTAATCTGTAATTGGTTTTAGTACATTGCATTCTAGTCAGTGGTTTTCTAAATCATTATTTTGGCCATTTTAGCCTTTATTTATGTATTGGAAATGACAGTAAGGTAACTAGGTGAGAGGATAAGGGGCACTCTCCCTAGTCTTGCCCTGTAGACTAGAACCCAGGCCCTTGCAGGCCTTACCTATGTGAGGTAAGCCATAGCAGTGCCCCGACTCAGTTCTATTCTATTATACTGATCTCATTTCTTTTTGAGTCAGTTATCCTTGTCCATGGTGCCAACCAAAGCAGACTCACGTTAGATGGATCTCAGTGTACATGTTGAGGAAGTAACCACCCAGCAGGTAACCGGCTGCTGGACCCACAATGGCTGCCGTGTAGAAGATCCCTAAGGGGAGGGGGGGAAGACCATAGACACAGAGCAAGGGTGTGTCAGTACAATGACTCCAGCGTCTACCTCCTGTTTCCTACTTACTCTTCCTGTCCTACAGGTTAAAAGGGCCATTGTTCTTTATATGGGCTCTGCATCTAGAAAATTTCCTGTTGTGTTTGTGTGTTTTCATAAAAGCAATGTGCTCTGCTGTTATTTGAAAGAGAATGATAGCTAAATGCTGAAAAGGGGTCATGACAGGAGCCTAGAGGGTCAAATTTACAAGACTTGCAGTAGATGGCATCAGACAATGACAGTGCTCAATATGTACATTTGAGGCACATTAGCTGCATTTACCAAACAAGCCCTTTTATCTATATCCAGTTCCTTCTTAATAGAGATTATACTGGATGGTTGCTGGTAATAAAATTATTCTGTGGAAGAGGGACAGAGACTGATAAAAGAAGATAGACAGCTGGTGAAAGAAGTCGTGCTGTAACCGTGAGAGTATATATCTGTTCATGCACCTGCATTAGCATGTGATGCTCAAACAAAAGTCTACATTTACATTGAGCTAAACAACAGATATATTTGAGCCTGCACCTGCAAAAGAATTATTGCTAAAAGACACAGCTGGGATTGTGTTCAGTGCCTGCTGTTTGCATATGCATTCTCACTATTCTATTTAATCAAAGCTCTGTCAAAATAATTAATCTTCAGAGAGAGTTATCACTGTCCAGCTGACAAAATGAGCCAAGCAGCACATGAATCAGCACAACTATGGCCTTAAACCTTGTATCATTAAAAAAATGCGGGAATTTAACAAAGAGTCATCAGTTTAACAAAGATGATGGAAGATCAACATAGAGCTGCACAACTGATGGAACATATATCATTGTGATTTGATGTTTAATCAGTTGATTCATTTATGAAAAAAACTAAACAACAACCAATCAGTTAATAAGCTAATAAATTATTCAAATAATTTTTCAGAGAGAGTAGTGGTTTGAATTTTTATAAATTCTCAAATTTTGATGGTTTAATATATCTATTAAATAATCAATTTATTATCACAATTTCAGTCCCATATTTCTAAAATGACCAAGTCTCTCTAGAAAAACGTCTTGGCACTCATCTTGGCATGAACTCGCATGTCGTCGTCCCCCCCCCCCCACAGATAGGAATAAGCACCTGTCTAAATGAATAAGCTGGCCACTGAAATATAAAATGTAGGTATGGTACATTACATTTTAGTTTCTGGTAAGCTACTACTGCTACTACTACTTTACTATTGTAATTAATAGTTATCCCCACTACCTAACAGTTGAAGCTATTATTTAACTGATGAATGACTTTCTGGGGTAATCCCAGGAATGCTGCATCTTTACTATTTTTTCAGGGACTATAATGTCAAATGCTTGGCATGAGATGAGAGAGGTGACAACAGTATGTTTTTTTTTTAATTTTTTGGCATAAATTATCATCAATCATAAATAAATGAATAGGGTTATAGTAAATAATCAACTGCAAACAAAACAGATAAAGAAGAACAGTCTGCTTGCTTCCATTTCTGGTGACTGTTACTAGTAGGACTCACCTATATAAACTGGTGCATAGTTGGAGTTGACATTCTCATCCAGGTATGTGACCCCTAATGTGTAGAGAGGCGTAGCGCCCATACCATGCAAAAACTGGCCAAGCATGAACACAAAGCGATAGCTGGACAGTCCTCCTGCCTCTTTGTTCTGACACGGGCTGGTACGGTTAGTAGAGCACATTCCTGTTTGCTCGGGTAAACTGACCTGGTAGGGAGGTGTAGTAAAGTGAGGCAAGGCAAACATCAGAGAACCCAGTGCCATGATAAGTACTCCCCATCCCAGCCAACGGGGCTTGTGACCTGTACCGCCGAAGTAACTGACAAAGGCCAGGCAGACGCATGCAGCAATGTCATAGGAACTGGCGATGAGGCCAGCCTGGTAGCTGCGCAGATCAAAGCGTCGCTCGATTGAGGTGATCACTGTGTTAATGAAGCCATTGATTATCATCCCCTGGAGGAAAGAGGCCACACAAAGGAAGAACAACACCCACCGAGGAGTGTTGAAAACTTGGATGCTTTTGGGGGTCAGAGCTCCCCAGCCACACAACTGATCTGTGTTAGTAGAGATTAACTTTAGCCCAATCTCTGCATTAGGTCTTGTTTCCCCCCCATATATTGGCCCAGGGAGTGCCGACGCCCCGGTGAAAATGAGTGGCTCATTAGTAATGGGACTGTCAGGGTTTCTGAGACCAGAGCCTATGGGGCTGCCTGTCTGGGAATCCACAGGACTAGGGGTGTCCAAAGAGGGGCCTCTGCTGAGAGGACAGTCCTGCAGGTCCAGGAGCTCCTGTTTGGAGCTAAAAGAGGCGTCGGCATTTAGCAAGACGGGCATCGCCCCTCTGAGGGGCACTGTGAGGATCCTGTGAAGTGGATTCTATGAACTGAGGCAATAAATCAATTAGCTCAACAACAAAAAAAGGAAATTTGAAGTAATAAAGGGTCAAGAAGATATTGTGGTAAGGCCAGGTTCTTCTTGGAAATTATCTATTCTTGCTTTGTAGTTTGCACCTCATGTGTCCACGGCTCTTCGTGTGCTCCTTTTTATTTGCACAAGGTTGCATATGGTGTAAAGATGGCTTTGTTACTGTGATGAGTAATAGCATCCTGAGGAGAGAAAAGAAAAATTAGATAGATTAAATAAAGAAACAACCAACTTTTGTAAAGATTTAATGCATAAAGAAGTCATCATTAGAATTTATGTACAGGCCACAGACACTGTGACCTAGACTGATGCTTCATATTTTACCAAATGTATAAAAACACATACATACATATCTCTACATGGGCATTAAATAATTCCTGGCATTACCACCGCATTGTTTAAAGAACAGTTTTGCCTTTTAACATTATGCTGGTACAAAGACTCCTCTAACTGTGAGTCGATTGAAGCATTAGTATCAAGCATTGCACCCAATCTCAGAGTCTTACACATACAGGGAACTCATAAAACCTCAAAGTGCACACTGCTAATGAACCATAAGCATTGTTACTTTGCTCTAGTAATCACAAATAGAGCTTTCATAATCACCATCATGAAAATACTGTGCAGGTCTATTTGTTGCATAACAACAACACAACAACACAAGTGTGTATTTGATCCATTATTGCAATCTGAAAGCTCATTTTAACTGATGTAATGTATTTATTTATATTACTTTCTTTCATTGTGAAGTACAATGTGGAACACTAGAAACTCAATGTCCACTTGTCACAACACAAAACAAGCAGCCTTACTGACCTTCAGGGGGTCATATTTGACAGTGACAGTGATAGAGCTTAATTGGATGCATAAACAAAACAGAAGAGATTTACTGAGAAATAAGAAAAGGCACAGCACAATAAAGCAGTTTGGTCGACATATTAAATACATGCAGTACAAGCAAAGTTCTTGTTAGTTTTCCCACTCAAAGCTTGGACTCCAAGATTTACCCATCGTACGTTTTGGAGTGGCAGCTTAGAAACATCTGAACAGTGAGTTTAACTGAATGCAAGAATAGCTTCTGAGCATGATCTGATGATGCTAACCTCTGAATGTTGGTTTAGTAGCACATCAACAAGTTTACTCCACCTTTCTAACTTGTCATTATTGTGTCACTTTTATGTATCGTCAGCCTTAACAAGTGAAAGATGAAAAGCCATTTTGTTCAAGTTGTGAAAAGATTTATAGAAAGAGAACTCTTTAAATCTAAATTTGATTGAGCAATAAAAACACACTCAATATCCTTGCCAACTCCTCAGATGATGACTGGTAAAACCAAAAGCCTCCTCGTTATGTAGTGACTGTACTTACCACTGTACCAGTGCTATGGAAAAGGAAAACGTGTTTCCCTGATCTCAACCAAGAATGAAGAATTGTGTTGCAATGTTCAAAAACACCTTGTTCATAAACTTCTACATACAGTTATGTAACTGTGCTAAAATGTAAAAGAGAGCACTTCCCTCTATGCCAATACTGTAAAAATCTCTAAAATACTCGCTAAAAATCTTTTTAAAAAACCCCAAAACATTTCTATTGCCAACACCTTTTAATCACCTTTTAATCTTTAAAATATTTACAACGTATCACACACAAAGCAGTTAAAATATAAAATAAATTAAATTATACATAGAATCAGTTTACCCTCCTACCTCTATTCCTTCATATAACAGCCAACAGGACTGCTAACAGTTGTTAATCTGGGAAAATGAAAACATTTGACAGAGATGGAATAAGAGCGGCAAATAAAGATGAACAGTTACAGAGAGGTATATCCATGCTAGGTCCTAAGCCCATTTCTCAAAGCCTCTTATAACTGAAGGACTACATCAGCAAATTCCTACACAACAACCCCCGCCCCACATGATTGGAGTCCTGCAGGCAGCCTGCAGGGAGGAAAGGAGGGAAGTGTCACCAGCCCACATAGTCCACCTTTGAATTACTGCTCACCAATGAGCAGCAAAATTGTGAGCAAGGAGAAATATAGAAACAGTCATTTCAAATGTGGCTATAAATAATATTTGAATGTTGGTTAACAAGTTTTTGTGTTTTTTATATAGTTTTTCTTTATTTTAACAAGTGCACAAAGCTATTATTCACTTTATGTCTATGTAGGTTCTCAGTCATCCAGGTCATGGTAATCTAAGGAGCTTCCAAAGAAAAGTGACTGGACTTGTTTATGCTTCTTGAAGACAGTTCACCTTTCATCCGAGCTTCTTCAGTTCTAAGACTGAATGGTGGAGAGACCCAGGTTTTTAAGACCTATTGGAGCTTAAAAACGAATACCTTATCTAAATCTGAGGCAGAGGTGCTGTGCTGCCTCAGCTGCTACCAGGCAATTTGTCTTATTTCAGCCACAAAACATTCTGATAAACTCCCCATCACAGAATAGTTTACAGTTTTGTTTTGTTTTTTAATTTTATCACGATACAACTTAGTTGATTATATTTGTAAACCAACTGCTATTTTTTTTTTAACTTGCAAATTAAATCACTTTGATCACTTAAAATGTACTGGAGCCAATGTTTATGAGAGATTTGCTAGCCCTGGAAAATGTTAGTTCATATTAAAAAATAAAAAAGTCTAATGCAAAACGTACAGTTTTTAACAAAACGTGGACTTCTATGTATTTATTTACTGAAGTCAGAGGTAAAGCTATGCACTTAGTTTGCGGAGAAACAGGTTGATGTGTTTAAGGATTGCAATTTGAATTGCTATTACAAGATCAAACACACTGAGAAATCAAAAAACTTGACTAATGCAAAGTAGGAATGGATATCTGAAACTTTGTTAGCAAAATTTCAAATGCAAAAAGGACTTTTGATCAGTCTGAATGCTGAATGAACAGCACTATGACAAGGAGTAGTATGTCCATGCAGTTAGTGCATGCTTGAAAAGGCTTGGACTGAAATGGGCTAAAATGACCGGAGCTAAAAATTAACCACGTTGTTGATGTTATAAATAAAATAGTTAACTTAAGTAGGGCAAAAGCACTGAATAACAAACAGTTTGGTGCACATCGAGGATTATGAGACTGAACATACTGATGTAGGAAACAGGTCGCTTGGCCTGGGCAAATGGCTAAAAAGAGTATGGGGCCTCATATGCATACCATATAGCACATCTTAACCTTTGGTAAAATGGTATTCTTTTATATGATTCTTATATAGCACTTTTCTAATCTCCCGGAACACTCAAAGTACTTTATACAAAGAAAGCGCACACAAGCATTTTCATCTATGGTTTTCAGTGCTTCCTAGCTAACATTCACACACATTCATTCTCTGATGGATGGATCAGAGAGCAACTCGGGCTTAGTATCTTGCCCAAGGATACTTGTCATGCAGACTGGGGGAGCCAGGGATTAAACCACTAACCTTCCGATCAGTAGATGACCTGCTCTACCCCCTGAGCTACAGCCAATATGTTTGAGATCTGGTGTTTTCATTTCTGATACCACAGGTTATAATAGCCTGCTCAAATTCAGTGAGCCTTTTAAAATGTCCCTTCTCTAACAAATGTTTGTAAAGGCAGACATTGTTGATTTATTTTTTATAACACCTGTGGTAGCTGGACTGACAATACCTGAATTCAACAACTGAGATCTATTGTCTGATATTGTTTATAAAAGACAGAAAATAAGAAAAATGTATCCTCTTTAGGAGAGCACTGTCGAATTTCAGACAAAAACAAGTATACATGCACCAAGGCATATATAGGCAGCCCTATGGTTTAGAACATGTACATAAAATCCATAAATACTGTATAAATACTGTATTTATGTGTAGAAAGTAAAATACTGTTTCATTTTTGATTTAACAAATGACCACTTTTTTTATCACTAAAACTCAAATGCCTAAAACCTGTCCACTTCAGCTCATTACTCTGCATTAACATGCCTTAATGTCTGTGAAGGTTCTCAGTCATCCAGGTCATCGTAGTCAAAGGAGCTTGCAAAGAAAAGCGTCTGGACTTCTTTAAGTTACTTGAAGACGTTTCACCTCTCATCCGAGAAGCTTCTTCAGTTCTAAGGTCAAATGGTGGAGAGTCCCAGATATAAACCTAGTGGGAGTAACCCCCCACAGAGGGACAAAAGGACCCCCTGATGATCCTCTAATTGCCTGAGCCAAGGTGTGAAACTGGGTGTGGGTCCCCATCAGCCAGAGTTTCGGGTGTGTTCATTGTGAAACCTGGCCCCACCTTATCATGCGAATTCCTGAGGTCAGATGGCCCAGGATGTGAGTGGGCGTTAAGGCGTCTGGGAAGGGATCTCAAAACTGGATTATAGATGGCAGAGAGTTGGTGTCGTAAACCCCCGCCTCTGTTCAAAGATGGTCACTCACAGTGGACATAGATGGCTTCTTTCACTCCTCTTTCAAACCATCTGTCCTCTCTGTCCAAAATGTGAACATTGACATCCTCGAAAGAGTATCCTTTATCCTTAAGATGCATCGGTGCCATCTGACCTCAGGAATTCGCATGATAAGGTGGGGCCAGGTTTCACAATGAACACACCCGAAACTCTGGCTGATTGGGACCCACACCCCGTTTCACACCTTGGCTCAGGCGATTAGAGGATCATCAGGGGGTCCTTTTGTTCCTCTGTGGGGGGTCACTCCCACTAGGTTTATATCTGGGACTCTCCACCATTTGACCTTAGAACTGAAGAAGCTTCTCGGATGAGAGGTGAAACGTCTTCAAGTAACTTAAAGAAGTCCAGACGCTTTTCTTTGCAAACTCCTTTGACAACATGCCTTAATGCAGAACATGAAAGGGTCCTGGCAAGCAAATCAACGCAAAATGAATGGTACCAACCACACTGCTGCGAGCTGTTGTCTGTTCAGCTGATCGCCCATGAAAAGAACAAGTATAAGGTTTTGGAGGGAAGCCAGAGCGTAAAACCTTATTATGCCCAAATGAAACTCGGGCTTATTTCCCCATTGAGGTGGGGCTGAATTCCTCATAAGCAGAAGAATTTGAGGTTTTAGACTGTGAGTTTTAACTTTGATGTCTAAATTATCATCAGTGTTGAACTGTGCTATCAGAATGCTGTGATGCTGTGTTTAAGTTTTTTTGTTTGTGTTTAAGTTTTTTTGTTTGTGTGTTTAGGCTTAGGGTTTAGATTGGGGATATCACCAATTATGACTTAATTCCTCAGGATCAATATGCACCAGATTGCCAATACCTCTGTAAGACAGGGGTATGAACTTGCATGTGTTTATTTAGACTGTACATTATTTTTCATTTATTTATTTATTTACATTTGGGGTTTTTTTTTCAGATTTTGAAAATGCTATAAAAATGGTGGCCATGCATTAATCTAACTTGGGGAGGGCAATTCATTTTCCCAAAGGGGTCACATGAGGAACTAGGACTATTGAGGAGGGCTGCACCAATAAGCGTATAAACAGATAAAATTAATATTGAGCAAAACTGAGTTCAGCTTGTGGCCACTTAGGAAAATCAATTGCCCAGCCCTGATCTAATTCAAACCTTACACCTAACCCAACACGTTATTCCCACGATCCAATGGTTGTTAAGAGGTTAAAAGCTATCAGGAGAGGAAAGGAGGTGGGCCACTATCAGGTGATGATGAGACGACCAGAGGTGGGAGTGTTTTGAAAGTTGAACCAGGCCACACTGTTAACAATGCACTTACAGTGAGGTAACACTTTCCTGTCTCACTGTTTGTTTGTCTGAAGCCAGAAATGGAATAGTTCTCAATGGATAATTTTTTTTCTCATGTAATTTCGATCCAATTCTCCATCACGCCTTTTCATTTCTGTTTTCAAAGCAAGATCAGAGTGGGGAGCTGCAATATTAATAACCAACAAGCTCTGCCTTACCTAATGGGTCCTTTATCTTCACAGTAGAAACTTATTTATTTTGGAATGGGAAGACTTTCCTCCTCTGTGATACACAAAGGCTTTTGAAGTATCAAGAGGAAGTCTCTCATGTGGTTATTATAACAGACTTAGATGAAGCCTAAACTGTCAATCTCACACAGAAACACCACCGGTGTTTGTATACACTGTTGTAATATCTCACTACAAAAGAAACAATAGAAACTTTAGCAGGTCGTTGCTCTGGTAAAACTGGAAGCAGAGAACAAACTGTGAGACTCACTGTGTCAGCTTTGAGAATAAGTAACCCTGTTTGAACCCACTGATGATGTAATTCCAGGAACTGCTCTTTGAATCTTAAAGTGGAAAAGCATTGAGTTACAGCAAATTGAGCTACAGCAGCACTGTGCGTTTGGCCTTGTTGAACTTTTGCATGTCAGGCTAATGTTACATCTTTTGTGGGCGATAACAACCCAAGAATTCTTGGTTTTGTTCTTCTATAAATAGCAGAGACAAATAGTCAGCTTGAAATTCAATCAAGTCTGAACTTGAAATTGTGAGTCCTTTTGCAATTTTTCAGTTTTTTGGTTGTTGTTGTTTTTTTTGTTTTTTTTTAAAGAAAAACAGAGGTATTGGAAGCTCTTGTTTTTTGCTTATTGCTTCTTTGATGTGAACAAGACTTAAAGTGATACAACCATGAATGGCAACTTCAAGGTTTGAAAACATGAGGTAACATTTAAAAAAAAAAATTTAAGCCTTTTCCAGCTTAGCCAATATCCTATCTTGCAGGTCCGTTGCTCTTGCACTCAACACCTTCAACGCACCAGTTGAAGATATTGAGAAATCCTACCAATGGCTGCACAAAGTTACAGAGGTACTGATCATGGTAGGACAGGAACAAGCTCTAAGCACAAGATCAGTAGAGGCTGGGGTCTATCACACCAGGCA